ACAGAGGGGCATCCCTGTGCGGGTGGAGAGCCTGCTGCCCGCAGCCCGCAGCAGGAGGAGAGCTCAGGCTGGGCCTCCCCAGCCGGGGGCTGACGCCGGTGCCTCTGCCGGTGCCGGTGCCGGGCTTCTCTCCCCTCCAGATGCCCTGAGAGCAGGCAGCTGTCAACCCCGGCGCTTCCCTGCACCCCTGTACCTGATCCCCTACTCCCAGTGCTCTCAGTCCCCTCTGCCACCCACTCCCTCTCCCAGCAGCCAGGCGGGGCCTCAACTCAGGGCAGCCAGAGCGGCGGCCACTTGCCAGGGCCGCACAGCTCACTGGCTGCAACTGGCCCTCCATCAACAGGACATGTCCTTCCGCAATTTAGATTTAAGATTCATGCAAATTTTGCATTCCACTCACTCCCAGAGCCAAGCCTGTCCCAGTACAAAAATGACGGACTGGTTGTTTTGCAGGAAGACCTGCCCTGGTTACTCCACCACGCAGAGGCCCCGAGAAGGCCGGGAGGATCAGGCTTGGGGTGACCGGGTGAAAGAGGCATGTTGAGGCTCGAAAAAAACACAGGGTGCTACAGGACGTGACTTCCAGGAAGACTGGGGTGCCACTGTGTATCCAGGATGTGGGCTTGGAAATGAGGGCAAGAGAGAGAGAGGGGAGGGAGAGAGCTAGTCCGCAGTGAGCCCCTGGGTGTGCCCAGCTCAGCGGGGGACGGAGGGCCCCGCCCTCGCCAGGATTCCCGTCTGGCAGGCGGGAGACAGAAACTGGGCACCCAACCACCGAGAGGATGACTCACGCAGCACAAAGGTATCCCAGGCAGGAGGAACCCTCGCATCCGCACACCGGGGGCTTCGACTACCTTGGGAGTGTTTTACTTTATTTTTATTGAGATTTAATTGTTAAATGTTATTAGTGTGTATTGCTTTTCTCCTCCTCCAACTTTTCATTGTGAAAAATTTCAAACCCGCAGCCAAGGTGAAAGAATAATTCAATGATACTCCCCCACCACCCATTCCCCAACTGTTAACATTTTTGCCACATTTACCTCTCTCTGTATATGTGTATTTTATTTTTCTGAACCATTTGAATGTAAATTATAGTCACCGTGATGCCTCACCCTTAATTATGCAGCTGGGATCTCCCAGGAGCTAGAGCACGCTCCTGCCTACACTCACCGCCAGGAGGTTTCACATGGACACGGTGTCATTATGTGGGTGCGGCTCCCAGCAGGCCCCGCCCCTCCGTGTCCCAGCAGCCACCTCCGGAGCTGCTTTTGTTTCTGATCCAGGATCCAGGACCGTACATTTCATTTAGTTGTCAGAATGTTTTATTGCCCCCGTGTGCCTGCCTCCCGGGTTGTTATATTACCCTTCGTGCCTGTTTGTACTTCTTAACTACTTTAAATATTTTTTTAGGAACTACTTACTCCATCCCAAGTGTGAATGGACTCAAGTCTTATTTACAGACGTGAATCACCGAGAACAGTAGCTAATCCCCGGATCCGGGATGTAACTCTCTTCAATCTCCACTTAGGCGTGTCCCCGTCCTAGACATTCGCTCTGTGTTCTGATTGCACTTTAACACCATTCGGGGACACCTCCCTGACCCAACCTGCCCAGCTGGCCTCCAGTCCCCATCCCCAGAGTTCATTAAGACTAAGGTCCGCTTCTCTGTTTGCAGAGTGGGGGCGGGGGGGGCTGTGATGTCAGCAGAGAGCAGCTCAGTGCGGCAGGTGTTACACAGCCCGTGAGCTCTGCCTGGAGGGACAGGCCCCTTCCTCCTTCGCCTGTGACTCGCTCCTCTGAGGGGCCTGAGCTGGGGGGGTGGGGGGGGCAGGGAGGAAAGGAGGAGGAGAGGGAAGGGGCACCTTCCTTAGCCCAGGCCTCACTACCGCCCTGGAAGCAGGCATGATCATCCCCCCTGCACAGGTGAGGAAACTGAGGCCGGAGCTGGGTGGGAGAGTTAGCTGCAGAACTCAGATGCTGGAGCGCTGAGGGCTGGGAAGGAGCGGAGAGGACAGCTAGGGAGGCGAGTCCTGAGGAGAGGACGAGGGTGTTGTTACAGGCGTGGGGCTGACAAGGTGGGTGCCAGGCCGGAGAAGGGCTGGGGCTTGCATGTCCCTCCCCCTGACACTGGAGATCATGGTCTGGGGGCCTCGGGGAACGGGAAGGGAGCAGGTGAGTTAATAGGGTCACTTTGGGGAGTGTCCTGAGCACGTAGTTTAGGGGGAGGGTGCGGGTCCTGCTTCACCAGTGGGCACTGTGAGGCCCAGACGAGGCCTCTCCCACGCCTGGCACAGCTCATGCCAGCCCCTCTGGGCTGCACTGGTTGGAGCGGGCTAGTTGGCAGGGAGGGGGTGCTGGCAGGGGCACTTACGTAGCCGCAAGCCCGGCAGTGGTGGCGGCGGCGCGTCAGGGCGTTGAAGGGCTCCTGGCAGCGCATGCACATGGTCACCATGTTGTCCCGGACCCACTGTGGCGCCCGCAGGCCCAGCTCCTCCGACTGCAGCTGGGGGCAGCAGGGTGGGCACTTCATCACCCTCTTTTGCCCACTCCGGAGCCCGGGTCCTGCCCACCTGCTCGGTGGGACTCGTGGGGCTTCCCAGTGCCTCACCCCCGGGGAGCGGACTGAATGGGCAAGGCCGCAGGGCAGCTCAGTTACTATCGTTCCCATTTCACAGGTGAGCAAACTGAGGCCCAGAGCGGTCTAGTGACTCCGCACAGCCTCCCAGCAAGCCAGCATTCAGAGCTCAGGTCTGAAAGGAGGCATCCTCTCCCTACCCCCCCCTCCCCCCTCCTGCCTCCACCTTCCCCAGGGCTTACATTTCTCTGGTGCTTTCAACCCAAACCTGCGCCCCCAGCGCCCTCCCAGCCAAGGCTGCGAGGCTGAGCCCTCCCTGGGGCTAGGTGCCTGGAGGAGGCTGAGCCCTCCCTGGGGCTAGGTGCCTGGAGGCCACCAAGGGGGTTGTTTGCTGGTGGGAACCTCTGGTACTGAGTCTCTGACAGAGTGCTGCTGGGGTGGGTGCGCTTCCCCGGTCCCTTCAAATCACTCCTGGGTGACACCCCCGCCCTCGGAGCTGCCTGGGGAGGCTGGCGGCTCCAGGCTGGCGGCTCCAGGAGGAACACTAAGTCTTCCTTACCTCCTGGCCCTGGGCCGCTCCCTCGGGGCCCTGCACCGCAGCCTTGAAGGTTTCATTCCGTTTCTCGATTTGGTCAATAGCTGCTTGGCAGGCCTGGGGAGGGGGCAAGAGAGTCGTTAAAGGGGGGACAGGGGGGCTTATTCATCGGTCCGTCCATCCACACCCTCGGCAGACACTGCTGAGAGCTGCTGGGCCTGTGGGCTGACTCCAGGGGAGAAACCATTCCCCCCAGACTACAGATGTGAACACTGAGGCTCAGGGGTGTGAGTGACTTGTTCCAGGTCACCCAGCTAGACAGTGAGAGGCAGCACAGTTCTAACTCAGGTGTGACTCCAAACTGCCACAGGGCAGCTCCGAGGAAGAGCAGGGAGCAGCGGGCACCCGC